AAAAGAAAAGAAAAAGAAAAGTTCTACTTCTTTGCATTAAATCTTTGGGGTTAGTTTGCTGCTCTTGTTCCCAAAGCCTCTCATCATTCAACAAAACTTCTAAAGACATTGTCTCTTTCCTACCACCACCAATATACAGGGTAGCTTAGATCTATAATTTCCCAGTTGTTCCAAAAATTACTATAAACGACAAACCCAGTGTACCTCTGAATTCCATCCACGTTGGAATCGAACTAAGGTGTGTAGGAATGGGACCTCGTATATTTTAGGGTACATTTTTACATTCATAGGTTTGTTGTAAGTGGGAAACTGGAGGAGTGTAGAAAAACTCTCCTTTATTTCAGAGGCAAACTGAGTGCACCTGACGCCCGCGTGGCATAGAGCTCTGTGCGATGAGTGAGGCGGGGCTGGACAGAGTATAGGTCTCCGGCCACCCGGGTCACTCCAGCCACCCGGGTCACTCCGGCAGCGTAAAGGATTTGCGCGTTCCTGTGAGGACGCTCGCGCGCGCAGTCTCGCGCAGGGTCGGGCCTGTCAGGCAGGAAACCTCGCGAGATCGGAGACTGGGAAGACTGTCGGGAGGAGGGGAGTGGTGTTAGGGAAGGGGGGAACTTGGGCAGCGGCTGGGCTCTGTGGCTTCAGGGCTCGGAGGGAGCAAGGGAGGGTGGCAAAGAGAGTGAGTCGGTGTGGCTGCCTGCTTGAGGAGAGAGGAAGGGTCCCGCTTGCCGTGCGCCCTTCGCGGGCCGAGAGCGCTAAGCACCCTAGAACCTCGGAGGCCTCCCGGCCCCTGGGGACCCCGCCCCGCCGCCCGCCGGCCGGCCCGCGGCCTCTCTTCCCTTTGTGAGCGCCCCCTTTCCAGGGGTGGTGGTGGTGGCGGAGGGCTGCGCGTGGGCCCGCCCGCCGAGGGGCCGCGGCGGGGGACCAAGAGGGCCTCGGCTGTGTGAAGACGGGAAGCGGCCGAGGCCCAGGCCGGTTTCCCCGAGGCGGCGGCAGCGGCAGCAGCGGCGGCTGCTCCCGGCACTTCCCCGCGCCATCTTAACTGAGCCCGATCTCTGAGAGCGCCTCCTCGACCCCGGTCGTCCCCTTCACCCCCCCCCCCCCCCCCCTTGTTTTTTTTTTTTTTTTTTTTTTTTTTCTTTCTGAGTCAGTATACTTATTCAGTTATACCGCCAAACTGGGAATTGAACTCCCCCCCCCCCCCCCCCCCCGCCCCTTGTCGCAGAGCTTGGGCTGGGCGGCTCGCTGGGGCTGGGGGGGGGGACGGTCTGTCTCCGGGCCCCCTCCTGACTCCTCGCGCTCCAGCGTAACGGCCATCGGAGCCCTGCGGGGGGCTGCCTGTTCCGCCCCAGACCTGTCGGCGAAAGGGTAAGGGCACCTCTGCTTGGGAAAGGGAGACATGGAGGGGGGCGGGGAAATTCGGCCCACTAAGGCCTCTGTGTGAAAGAAGGGATGTGAGGGTTGGGTGGGGGAAGCAGACAAGGAGGGTCTGTGATTCTGTGGGTGGGGTGAAGAAGCTGGTGAGCTGGATGCCCTTCTGTTTTGAGGAGCGAGAGCGATTACATTCCTTTTTCCTGAGGGTCACCGGAAGGGGTGGTGGAAGGGTATGTTTCAAGGAAGGTGTGGCCCTCGTTGCTGTCCTGGGTTGAAGTGCACCCCGATTTAAAAGCGCGGAGTCCCTTTCGGTGTGGTTCCTCTACTCGCTGCTTCTTTGTAGTGTCTATGTACAGTATTCTTGGGAAAGACTTGGGAAAGGAGTAGGTGGCTTGGTCGATTCCACCCCCTCCCCCGCAGGAAGTCTATATCCCTATTCCGTGAGGGTGATGGAAGCGGTTCTCTCCCCCTACCCTTCCCCCTTCCTCAACCTCTAGTCTACTGCAGTGCTGCAGAAGTCCAAGGCAGTTTCTTCATATACAGACCCATGTATACACTGAAGGGAGGGAGAGCAGGAGAGGGAAGTGTAATGGCGTTTCCCTTGGAAAGGTTACTGTTTCTCCTTTGATTTGAAATTGCTAACAGTTCCGTTAATACTTTTGCCTTTAGCTGTGCATGGAAAGTGTATCTGCCCCTGTTGTTATTGTTGGGGGATATGATCTCTCCAGGGGACCCTTCTCGTGTTAAAACACTTGATGTCTTTCTTGCTCCCTCTTTTTGAAGATTATTACGTGCAGAGAGGCTGTCTGATGGACACTTGCCTCCAGGCTGTAAATTTTTAAGGTTAATATTATTTTGTGTAATACTGTAATTTGAATTTTTTGAAAGTGATGCTCTTTTTCTGAAGGAAATGCAAGATAGTAAACTAGTTTGCCTAGTTATACTATGATGGATCTGTATTTTGTAGTCATAGTTTTCAGTTTTGCCTCATGTCATATATTTTATAAATAATCTGATTTGCAGTAGTGCTTATTGTTTTTGTCCTCTGAGTGGAAATAAATAAAATTAACAAGTGCTTTTTGTGACCAAAAAGTAGTCTTCAAGTCTTAAAGGAGTCTTGATGTGCTGCCAGTACCTTTTTCCTTCAAGTGTTTAGATTTACTAGTGATTTTAAAAGGTTCATATGTGACTATTAGTAGAATTAAATAATTTTTCACGAAGTGATGGAAATGGCTAAAATAGGTTGTAGATGAGTTCTTATTTTATTAACAAGTGGTATGTGGCATTTAAGCTTTCCTTGGTGAATTATTTAAAAATAACCCCAGCATTTATGTTGTCATTTAATGTTGTATGTGGTATATTACGTTTTGAAACCTGTTTGAACACAGGGACTTAAAGATGTTTTTAGCAACAGTGCTAGGCACAAATTTAGTTTGTATCATCTTATTCTGTGATACTGATGTAGTTTTTGTTTTTTCTGAATAGTATAGAATTTACCTTTATTTTCTTTTGATGTTCATCTTAACTTAAACAGCACTGTTCATTTAAAGTTTTCTCCTACATGGCAAAATATACCATAAATCTTAATCTTAATTTTCTGCATTAGGATTTGTTGATGATGAAATCCTATATATTGGCATATATAAATTGAAGCATACTACTCAGTAAAGAGTGACTGCTTTATCTCGAAAGCTGCAGGAAGACAGGATTTATCAATTAAGGCTACAAATTTTCAGAATGTAGACAGGATATAGGTTAACTACCTGATATATGTTAGCATACTAGAACTGAGAAGTACTACTTTTTAGAATAACCAAAAAAGAAATTGTCTTCCATAGCTAGAAGGAATGGAAGGAATGGCCTAAAAGGTTTTTTTTTTTTTTTTTTTTTTTTTTTTTTTTTGCGGTACCAGGGATCGAACTCAGGACCTTGTGCTTGCCAAGCAAGCACTTATTCCACTGAGCTATTTCCCTGGCCCAAAAGTGTTAATATTGTATTCATGATCAATTTGGGGAATTTTGGGGCTGGGAGATGGCTCAGTGGAATAAGCGCTTCCCTAGCAAGAGCAAGGGCCTGAGTTCAATCCCCAGTTCTGAAAAAAAAAAAAAAAAAATTGGGGAATTTCTTATTAAGGAAGAATGCCTAAGGGCTATAGATGACCTCTGATGCCACTGTCAGAGAATACTGAAAACTGGGTTAATTCCATATGAATATGACACTTATTATGTTTCTAAATAGTTCATCTAGAAAATGACAGTATACATCACTTCCTGTTCTTTCAAAACTGGCTTTCTCATGATTCTCTTTTAGTGACTTAATTTTTGACATTCTGATATCTGATTTGATAATTTTTTTTTTAATTTTTTTTAACATTTATTTATTGCGCGCACGCGCGTGTGTGTGTGTGTATGTGTGTCCAGCTCAGCCCACCAGGGGGCGGGGCTGGCTGGCATGTGGTGCTGGGGGATTGAACCGCGGTCCCTGTGCTTTGCCAAGCTTGTTCCAAGTAGGTGCTTTAGACCACTGAGCCATCTCTCCAGCCCCTGATTTGTTAATTTTGTTATGATCACATTTTATACATGGAAGAATTTGTAAGGATCAATTTGTTTGGAGGCCTTTAATGGGCTAAGATTATTATGATAGTACCATTACTTCCAAACTAAAGGATAAATAAATTTAAACTCTGAGAGTTTTTTGTTTTTCCTTACTGTACTGGGGATCAGACCCAGGGCCTTCTGCATGCAAGGCAAACGTTCTTCAAACTGAGCAGTTTCCTCAAGACTTCTGAGAGACCTAAAGAGAGGTAGCAGTGTACAGACCCACAACAGAGTTGAATTAAGTAGAAAATGACTTGTATTTTCTGTAACATGGATTTTTTTTGACAGCTGTGGACCTGGCAACCAATTGACTGTGTTAATATAAAATAAGCTTTCTGTCAAGACGTGTATGTGATATTTGGTGTGATTCTGGATGTCATTCCACAAGAAAGAAGGAAATGGATTAGTTATAGGATACCAGAAAGACTGGATACAAATAATTTAATGATTTGCTGGCTTTTAATAGACATGAATACTTAGTCCAGAAGTTATCTAATGGCCAACTGTTTATTTGAAGTTAGAGTAAGATTAATCTTTTTTTTTTTTTTTTTTCCGAAACTGGGGATTGAACTCAGGCCCTTGTGCTCGCCAGGCAATCACTTCTTGTACTGAGCTATCTCCCCTGCTCCTTAATCTGTTTTTATTATCTGGAAATAAGTTGTCTTTTGCATTTGGCTGATTTGTATATTAAAATAACTAATTATTTTATATCTTTTTGGTTATCAGGAATGGCTTTTGTGTGTGTGTGCGTGGTACTTTGGATCACACATGGGGACACTTCCCTGCTGAGTTCTATCCCCAGGTCTTCCCCACCTCCCAGACCTTTTTGAAATAGGGTTTCCTGATGTTGTTCAGGTTGGCTTGGAACTTGCAGCCTCGTAGTAGTTGGGATTGCAGGTGTAGACTAGCCCTCTGTCTGGCTTTGTCTATTAAGTAATTAATTGCAGTTGTACTAACTTGACCTTTTAAAATTAAGTATTGTTGTTTGTGCATACTGGTTAAGGGCTTCTGATCAGTTCAGTATCATATATGAATGAAACTTTGTGGGCTTTTTTTTTTTTTTTTTGCATTTTTTGTGATTTTACAGAAGCACAAATAAACATGCACACAGGCTGTCTACTCGTTTTCTTCACTGCACAGCCTGGCTTGGGATGTTGCACATGTTTCTGAACTTGTTTATGGAAGGATTTGTTTTATATTTTTCAAGATTTCTATTATAAAATATTGTGTATATATATGTACATATAGGTGTGTATATATGTGTGTGTGTGTATATATATATATATATATGTATATTCATTTGTGTGTTTGGTACAGAGTCTCACTACGCAGATCAGACTCATGGTGATCCTCCTGTTTTCGGTTTCCCCAGCACTGGGATTATAGGCATGCACCACCATGCCCAGATTTTGTTGCTGGCTCAGCCAATGGGCAGGGCCAGCACTGCATGTGGGACTGGGGCTCAAACCCTGGTCCCTGCACTTGCCAAAGCAGGCACTTAGTCCACTGAGCTATCTCACTGGCCCGAGCTGGGCATATATGATTGTTGCACTTTGGAATACCAAGGCAACCTGAACAATTTAGCAACTTAGGCAGACCCTGTCTCAATTTAAAAAATAGAAACAGAGCTGGGGATGTAACTGAGTGCAAAGGCCCTGGATTCATTCTCTGTATGGGGAAGCTGGGGGTAGGAAAAGTAGGAGGAGGAGGAATGGAAGGTGAGAAGATATAACTTGTAGTGTTCCATTCCATTCTGTTCCATTGTTGAGATAAAGTATTTGAAGTTGTATTATGAAAATTGAAATTTAATTTTATTAAAGAAGTCTCATGTCTTCTAAAAAAAGCTATGAAAAAAATTAAAAAGCTGTGAATTAAAACATTGTATGGAGAGGCTAGAAGCTTTTAAAATTAATATGTACAGTTATATATGTATATAGTAAAGGTTATTTCTTTTTTTTTTTTGGCAGAACCAGGGATTGAACTCTGTCCCTTGTGCTTGCCAGGGAAGTGCTTTATTCCTCTGAGCCATACTTCCCAGCCCCCTCTAAAGATTATTTCTATTTCTCTGTCAGTCCCTTCCATTTGTATTAGAAGCAGACTTTTTTTGTTCTGAAATGCAGTGTAAGGCTGTCTTTTTTTTTCTTTCTTTTATTTTTTTGAGATGGGGGTTTCACGGTATAATTTAGGCTGTTCTTGAACTCACTATGCACCTATATTTCTCCTGCCTCAGCCTCCCAAGTTTTGGAATTATAGGCATGTGCTACCATGGCTGTATGGTAGCACATGCCTGTAATGTAAGTAAGAAGAAGGTACTTCTTACTTAGTGAAAAAATTAAGTGGTCCATAAAAGGTAGAAGATTGCTCAAGATGTCTGTGTCTGGCCTATAAATAAAAGTA